CGGCTGCCAGAAGGCCGGGTGCGGGTTCTGCCAGAGCAACGGCACTCCAGAGCCTCAGGGGCATCTCTGAGGAGGAGAGCGCGTGCGAGGGAAGGTGCCAAGGCACCCGTGCCTTGACATGCCAGGGGGCAACCGTTCCTCCCCCCTGCAGCCAACCCCCGTTCGCGGCCCTGCAGGCAGGGAAGAAGCCACAGGGGAAGCTGCCCGCCTCGGTCCTGCTCCGTTTTCTCCTCTGCCCGCTCTGCTCGGAGGGTCCCCTGGCGCCTGGCTATAGATAGATCAGCCCCACGGGAGGGAGGCTGCCTTAGGCTGTGGTGCGTGCTTTATCCTACACACTGTCTCCCTGCTCTCCCCTAGGTTGTCTTCACCATCGTTGACCCAGCCCAGAAGCTGCATGTCCCACTGCTGATCAGCCCCTACTCCTATACAACATACCGGGGCAGTTAAGGAGCGAGGCACGTCTTCCACAAAGCAGCTGCAGCTCCAGGGAGGGACGCAGGGCACCGTGGGGAACGTAGGAGACTGACACCATTAAAGGCTTCAAACAGCATTGTCAGCCTCAAAATCGCTTCCTCGAACCAGTGCACACTTAGCTTCTCTGGAGAGGGAAACTGAGGGGAGCCCAAGCGGCAGCACAGGCGAACAGCCCTGCTCAGCTGCCCTGGGGTGCTCCTGGCCTGGCCAGGCGGCACCGCGCGCCGGGAGGGAGCCCCTGCAGGCCCCCGCTCCAGCTCTGCTCTGGCTCTGAGCACCTGGTGGGCTGGATGCTGGGTGGCCTCTGGCTCCCCTGCGGGCTGCGCACAGGCCCCGGCCTCGGGTCAGGCTGGCAACGCTCGCTCAGAGCCAGTGACCCAGCTACCAGCTACCTCTGGCTGGTATCTCCCCGACGCAGGCAGGAGCGCCGGGCTGCTGAGGGCCGCTCCTGTGCTAAGGCCTGGCCCCAGGGCGGAGAAAGACAATCCTGTAGACCCTTCAGAAGGCTTGCTGGGGTCTGTTTAATGGTGCAGAGCTTGAACAGACAGAGCACAGCCCTGCTCCCTGCCCAGCACAGGCACCAGCAATGCAGTGGGCCCTCCCACGCTCGCAGGAGGGCCTGACCAGAGACAACGCACAAACGTGAGATTGCTGGTGTCACGTGGGCGCAGCAACGAGTCCTGCGGGGCCCTGCCCCACGGTCTGCCCCAGCATAGGGATCTCCAGGGGCTTGAACCCCAGGCTGTCTAGAGGGATGCCAAAGGCTGTCAGCTTTGCCTCGAACGTCTGCAGCAGGTCATTGTGTGCCTGGAAGAGAAGTGCCCCAAGTTCTGGCCTGCCGCCCCAAAGCCCAGCTCCAGGCCATCCTGCCCCCCTCGCTACCTGAGCGTGCGCTCCCTGCAGCCCCCCTGCATGGTGGTGGGAGGATCAAGCCCTCCTTCGCAGGGGAAACAAGGAACTGGGAGAGCTGCAGCCCAGGTGATCAGAAGGGCTGGGTCCCAGGCTGTCAGAAAGATGGGCATGAAGCAGCTTGGCTGACCTGCTGCAAGTTACCGTCCCTCCTTACAATGCCTGGAGCAGGTGGTGTTGTTTTCACTCCTCCAAGCCACAGTAAGCATACAAAAGGTCCCAGCCCTGACCTGGCAGGACAAGGTGCCCCAGCCCGCTTCCCTCACCTTGCAGACTCGCGCCAGCTCAAACTGCAGGTCCTTGATGGTGTTGTTCTTGGAATCGAGCACGTCCTGCGAAGGAAGACAGCGTGTCAGGATCGGCACCAAGGGCACAGTCGGCCCAGGGCTGCGCCGCAGGTTGAAGCTCACAGAGGAGCTGCTGCGCAGTGTCCGGGCTGGCACCGGGACCTGGCTCACATAGCACAGCTCATGGCACGGCCTGCCTCCCTGGCAGACAGCCATCACCCTGCCCCCCTCTGAGCAAGAGCTGCCAGGGACAGCCAGCCCCAGGCAGTCACAAGACAGGGACCTTGCAGGTTAAAAATAAGGGTCCTGGGAGCACAGAGGCACTGACCAGTGGTTTCCAGACAAGCAGGCCCCATCTTCCACCCCATGCTCCTCCCTGCAGACCTACAGCACCAAAAGTGCCAGCATTGTGTTACATCATCCGCCCAGCTGCAGGGGGGGACAGATAACAGCACCTGCTCTGGGCAGCACCTCCCTGACGTGGCGGCACCGGGGGAATTACAGGGAGAGCGCCTTCCTGAGAAGACGCCAGAAGCTAGGGGCAGCTGAGCAAAAGAATTCAGGGACCCCAGCAGCTGCGGGCAAGATTGACGCCTTGTCACCTTCCCAGGAATGTGTTTTCCAATCTGCTGCTGTGGCACCTGCTGCTCACCCACTAGGTGACACATCCGCTGCCCTGTCCTAAGAACAGAGCGCCTTGGGCTGGCTAGCCTGTTTATCCCAAGGCACCCTGGCACGACAACATCTACAAGCTTCATTGGCACTTCACCAGAGAGGACACCTGGAATGGGTGCACCGGTGTGGGATGAGTAGGAGGGCACCAGAGAGTCGGTGGCTGAGCTAAGCGTGGAACATAAATCCCTCGTGTCTCAAGCTGATATGAAGCAAGTGCTGCTTCTCCAGTTACTGCTGCTGTAGGCTCCGGGAATGTGGGACTCTGAGCCTTCACCGCCACGCCAGCGGCTTTCTGCATAAGTATTTTTAGTGTGCCAGACATTGCTGAGCCTCTGGGAACCAGTCTACACTGCTCCTGCAGCCAGCGAGACCGGGAGAGGAGTGCTGGTGAGGTTCACCAGCTGTGACTCCCCCAAGTGCACAGAGCACTCAGGGTCAGTGCTCACTGCAGCCTACCTACCTTACAAAACTTGACCCAGCAGCACTGGGGAGATGGAGCCTGTGTTTGAGTGCCACCTGCATCGGGACCTGGTGAGCACTGCTCAGCCTGGGGCCATTCTCCTAGAAACATGCCTCACCTGAGGGAGAAATCAGTGCCAGACTCCTACGCTCACATGCTCTGCTCTCAAGGGAGAGCCAGCGTGCCCTGCAGCACCAGGCGCAGACTGGGCCCTGGAAGTGCTGGGAACAAGGGACGTGACAGCCAGAGCCCTGCCTTTCACAGGGCGCATCCGACAAGGGAGCGAGCTGAGGTGCTCACCGCAGCCTCCCAGTTCTGCAGACTCATCTTACAGGCAGATATCCCCCATGCAGGGAGGATGGGGACCCCATTTCCTACCTCACAGCCTGGCTCTGCCCCGACAGCCCAGAACCAGGCACCTCAGGCCCTAGCCATGCTCACACACTCGCTCTGACGTCCGTCTTATCCCAGTCTCTGGCCCAGACCTCCCACCCACTAAAATCAGTCTTGCTAGAGAGGTGCACCTTTTGCAGGGCCCTGTGACAGTGAATAGTACCTCCAGCTTGCGTGAGACCAAGGAGAGGGCGCTTGGGTCGAGGTTGGAGACTGAGAGGACCTCGTTGAGCTCCACCTCCCTCTTCTCCAGGATGCTGAAGAGTCCTTTTAGTTTGCGCTCCAGGAGGAGGTTCTTGAATCCGGTCTTCTGTTGCACCTCATTAATGGCTTTGGTGAACTTCTGGTAGAGCTCATCTCGCTCCGCCTGCACCTGCGCCCAGACACAACACACATCTACGCTGCCCTCAGGACCACTTTGCCGGCAGCCACCCAGGGCAGGGAGCAAACAGGTCCAGCAGCTCGGTCCTGCTTGCTCCAGTGAGAGCCAGGCCATTCCCTACAGCACCTGCGCCCCAGAGGGAACCCAGGTACAGGAGTGCAGCTTCCCTCTGCAGCTGGCACCTCCTCAGCACCCACACTTCTGCCTCCTCCACTCCCCAGGCACTGGGCACCCTGTAACAGCAGAAACCCTATCAGCTGCCCCAAATAGCAGTACCTGCCCCAACGCAACCTCTGCTGTTCAAACCTTTCCCCTTTCATCCCCTACACTCTAACTGCTCTGTACCCAAGCCCTTGCCCTCGGGGCTCTGCGCCTACCCAGCTACCTCTCCTCTAAAAGGGCTCTTGGCTGTCGGTGAAGACTCTCCCACCTTCAAGCCCCAGCAGGAAGCAAACGGCCATCCCCATCCTCCCAGCAGTGGTGCAGAGAGGTGCCCTGCTTCCCCCAGCGCAGGACCAGCAGTCCTCACTCCGAGCGTGTAGCGCTGCAGTGACATGTGGAGCCCACAACCCCAAGGATCCAGACCACATCTGGTCTCCTCTCTGCAAGCCGGGCAGTAGTGACAGGCTCGTTGGGTTACAAGCTCTCTGCCTAGGAGTTGCTCAGGGAAGCCTTTCCAAATGATGTGCTGTCACACTGATGGTGCTGCAGGGTCCTGCGGACAGCTGTGAGCAGGCCAGTCAGGATGGTCGCAGCAGCTCCTCACTGTGCTCTGCATCTGAGGTGCTATTGTAGACCTCAAAGAGAGGGGCCCACAGCACACAAGGGTCTCTCCTCTTCTCCTGGCAGCTGGTGGGACTGGCAGGAGTCCCTGGCTCACAGCTAGTTAATAAGTGTCCTAATTAGGATCTTTCCTCCAAAGCCTATTTCTGAATGCACTGAATATGTTGCTGCCTTAATGATGGATTGTTAACGAGGCCTCAGATCAGTGTTCATATTCCTGGGGATTTCTACGAATTGCAAATGAGCTCTGTTCTGCCTCAATAAATTTATCTGGGTTAGCTGGGAGGGAGAGGCTGAGTCTGGCAGAATGCAGTCAACAGAATATTCCTTGAAGATAAACTCATCCTGAGCAGCCCCTGCATGGCGAGTGGAGGGAGTGACCCCCAGACCCAGACAGAACGAGGGAGCAAGCTCTAGCAGGGGATGGGGCTCTCACGACAATCTGTCATTGGACTGTCCTGAGCAATCCCCTGCTCTAGCGAGAGCCTCTCCACGTGGCTCTGCTCCTGACCCAGTGCTTCAGCCAGTCATCCACAGGCCAGGAGAGGACCATCAGAGCGTGCATTATTGCTTAGCCAAGTACAAGGCTGGGCCTGTGTGCTGAGCATGGGAGACGCCAAAGCTGTGAGAAGCTTTGTTGGAAACAACAGCCAATACTCAACTCTGGATCAGATCTTCAGAAAGCCCTTGGCTAAGCACAGCCTGGACAGCCTCTGTTAAGTTGCTGCGTCCAACCCTCTGCAAAGAGGAGAGGGTTTGGGGAAGGTAAGAGGTTATCTAGGCCCACCTGTAGCTCTCACCTTACTGAACCTCTGTTCCAGCACTTCATGTTCCCACTGAAGATCTTTCAGTTCCTTCTGGGTGACTTTCAGATGGGCTTTTGTGTTCTGCAGATGGGAAGGGACAGTTAAAGAGCACAGACTTCTCTGGGAAGTGTGTGGGATATGTTCCAGCAAAAGAAGACAGTGACCAGCAAAGAGATGTGGGGAGAAAAAGCATAGCAGCACCTGCACCATCTCCCTCCCTCTCTTCATCAGGGGCTACTTGCTCCTCTCCTCACCAGAGCCAGAGTCCTGGGAGTCCCACGTGAGATGTAAACAACCAGCTTAGTTGAAAGACTCAGAGGAATTTGCTTGGCAATCTGGCCAAGCAGCTTTAAGCCGAGCGGCAGAGGTCACTGCTGAGCGACTCCGCTCCAGGAAACAGCCATGGTGGCTTGGAAAAGGACAGAAAACGGCTCAGTAGGACAGGTGACTCACCGTCAGAGCCTCCTTGTCCTTCTCATAATGGGTCAACTTCTTCTGCAGCTCAGACACCTGCTCCTGGGCCCGCTGCAGGCACTCCGTCAGTTGCTTGTTCTGGAGCAGCATGTCTGCCATCTCCTTTTCCAAGTGATTCTCCTTCTTCTTCATCTCCTCCATCTGCTCCTGTTTTTGGAAACACAGGAGCGCTACTGCCTGGCCGCTCAGCAGTACACTGCCAGTCCCACTGCTGGCCCAGCCAGCCACATTCTGCCCCCATACAAGAGCTCCCCAAGAGAGAAGCAGTACCAGCACCTCCACCTGTGGCCAGATTTGGGTGAAAACCTTACAGGATCCATCCCCCGGTGGAAGGGTAACACTCCAAAAGCCAAGCAGGCTGTGACAGTGGGGCCAGGGGAGCAGGCAGGCAGTACCTTGAGCGTGTTGATGAGCGCCAAGTTATTGAGAGTGACATCATTGTAGTAGTTCTTGATGTCACTGAAGGCCTTCTCATGGTTCTTCATCAGCACGCTGATCTGGCTGTTCTTCCTCTCCTCAACCTCATGGATTTCTGTCTTCCTGCGCAAATCAAGCTCGTCCCGCAGCACATGCATCTTCTTGTTGTACTTGGCCTCAATCTCTGGAGAAGCACACAGGGGGCTCAGTGAGAACCACCTGGAGACCCTGCATACATGCACTCCCAGCTCTGTTATGATGTGCTGGCCCAGCACATGCCCCTGCAGCATCACTCTGGGACAGGATGTCGTTACCACACCACTGTCGCTCCCCCCGTGTACAGAGCCACAGACAGCAGAGCTCAGAAATAGCATCCTGGAAGCAGGGCACTGGAAATGCTCCAAGTCAGCCTGTGAGAACCTGAAATGTCCCATGAGGAGGACACTAGAGCGAGGACTGACACCGGCAAGGGCTCCTCCAGCCACCCCAGAGTGTCGTCTGGAAGAGTGCCTGCCAGACAGCTGCACTCAGCAATACAGCCTGGCAGCAGCGACAAGAGCCCTGCCTCTATCTGTGAGTGGTGCGAAAGCTCACACCACGAGCATCCGTCCTTGTCCCAGCTGCCCTGGGAGCTCAGCTCGGAGAGTGATGCAAGCCATGCAGCTTGACAGCCCAAGAGCACAAGGGAGCAAGATTTAGGGAAAAAATGGCCCCTTTCAGCAGGAGGCTCTGTTTTGCTCCAGGGAGCCCTACAGTGCAGCAGAGCACTGAGGAGCCTTCCCCAGCACACCGACAAAGGGATGTCACGCATGTCCCGACCTTTCACTTGTCTCTCAAAGTCGTTGCACAGCTGTGTGATCTCCTCCTCTTGTTTCTGTTAGGGAGAAAGGACATGTTACAGGCAGAAAATCAACTCCGGAGGTTACTGCACCCCTATACAATGTAGGCTGGGGACTTTCATCCTTTCTGCAACCAAACTGCACCTCAGAAAAATGGAGACAGCCCAGCTCAGGCCAGCACTGCCTGTCAGCTTGGACACCACACTCCTTTCTGCTGTACTGTGCCCAGCTTTGCCCATACCTCATTGGTTGGGCACCTAATTTTTAGGCCTTCTTCCCCCCTCCGCAGGTAAGAACAAGCCTACCTGCTGCTCTAAGATGTTGTGTAGAGCAGGCTGGGCACAGCCCCAACGACTAGCATGCCTGCGTGATCCCCCTGCTCCCCAGCTCCGAGCTGTCGGAGCCACAGGCTCCCCACAGGCCTCAGCTGCGTCTCTTTGGCCACAGGCTCCCCACAGGCCTCAGCTGAATCTGTTTGGCAAACATGGGTTCCAAGCACTCACACACCAGTGCAGCCATGCCCGCAGCCAGGCAACATCACTGTGCCCTCCCAGGCCTCCAGGCCAGTCTCTGCAACGGGGCTGGGGTCCAACAGCCCTGGACAGCCCCAGGAAGTGGCTAAACCTCCCCAGGGTCAGCTACACCCCAAGAGAGTCCTCCTGCTGTCTGGGAACAGCTCCTGCCACCTCACATGGATCCCATGCTGTCTGAGCAGACAGCTGCTTAGTAGATTCTCCATCTGTCCTTATGGCCTTGGAGCTGCTGCCTGGCTCCCTGCTGCAGGAGGGATGACTTCTAAGGAGCTGCCCCAGGAAGCCCGTCTCTCTGTTCTTATGCTGTCTTTTCAACCCACCTAAGTATATCTGTTACTGGCACGTATGGGAAACCCTGTTCTCTTTCCAGGGAGACAGCAGGAAGGTAGTCTGCTGCTCACACGCCAGGGCAGGGAGGGCTCAGTCAAAGGCCTCAGCACTTCCCTCTGCCGCAGACGAGCCTTGCCTGCTGCCCGGGCCTCAGCCCGGGCCTGCTGCCCCTCCCGCCCTGCCAGCGACCTACCAGGTGCATGTTTTTCACCACCACCTCGTTGGCTAGCTCCTGTTCCTTGAGCTCCACTTTCAAGGAGCGTACGTCTTTACGCAGCTCCATCTCCTGAGCCCAGTGATCCTTCTGGGCCCGCTTCATGGACAGGGTGCCCTCTGCCTTCAGCTCAGTGAGGTTTTCCTGGTGTTCGTACAACAGGTGCTTCACCTTCTGCTTGTAAACCTAAAGACAAGCCACAGACCAGGTGAGGGGCTTCAGGAGATGCTGACAGGAATACACCTGAAGCTGGGATACTGACCCAGATGCCCCGGACTGTATCCTGCCCATCTCCTCCTCCTCCACCTCCCTTCCCTCACCTCCTCTCCGAGCTGCCCAGGGCTCACCCGCAGCTCCTGCCCAGCCAAGGCACTCACGACAGGTCCTAGCCTACTCATCCTCCCACCTTGATCTCCACTTGATGTCGCTCCTCCGCCTCTTCCATCTCCCGGTTCTTGTTACGCAGTTCTGCTTTCTTCTCCTCCAGCTGCCGACGGGTGATCTCCCAGAAGGTGTGAATCTTGTCACGCTCCAGCTGGAAATAGTTTCGCTCTTGCCATTTCTGGTCCAGCTCCTCCTGGAGACGCGCAATGTGTTCCTCCAGCTGCAAAGCCAATAGGAAGAACCAAATAGGAGGAAAAGGAGGCCTCGGACAGACAGCTCTCCGGGAAAAAAAAGCTGAACCGAGGCTCTTTTCAAGATATCCATAGCAACCCATGTTGCAACCCTGGTAGGACACAACATAGTGGCTTTTAATGGGACAGAAAAGCACAGGACAGGAGGGGAGGTACCCTGAACAAGAGACATTTGGAGGGGGTGGGGTTTGCACAGGACCTGACAGCAACCCATCAGCCTCTGGGAAGAGTAATAAGACCTTTTCCTGCCATAAGAGGCCAGGACTCAGCTATTCTGTCTCACCGTGGCCAGTAACACCGTTCTGGGATGCCTGAACAACACTAGGTCAGAAGCAGAAAATCTTATCCCAGGCAGTGAGGTCCCTGGGACAGGGCCAACTTCTGCTATGTTTGTAGGATACCACCAAAACACAGCCCAAAGTGGAGCATCTGGAGCAACTGAACATAGGGAAGGAAGTTACATTCTCCACCTCTGCCCTTCCTTAGGGCACCTAAGAGAGCCTCCTGTCCAAGAAGGAATGCGTTTTGTGATGAGTGCCACAGGCTGCAAGCCACGAAGATACAGGTTGGGCAGTCACAGGGCTGAGTACGAGCATGAGTGCAACTGCTTGCAGAGATCAGTCTGCTCCAGTTATGGGTGGAAGCAGTCAGTTAGGGGGGCTTGATGGACAGAGAAACACTGATTGAAGTACAATCTCTGTCTGTCAGGCAGGTTACTGACAGAAGGAAAAATACCAGAAAATAAAGTACTTAAATAACATGGTATAGTCTCATCAGGGGTACCTTTTTCACACCACCAGGACACTCTATCAGGACATTTTCACAGCACTAGGACAATGAAACAAGAGAGCAGGGTGCCACGGTTATGAAGTCAGGCCTAAGACAGTGAAGGCACTGGGCTGGAGAACAGCAGAAGGGAAGATGAGACGAGGTGGCTGATCTTTTCAGGAAAAGTGCTGAGCAGGCTTTGTGAGATCGTACACATTGTCCAGACATGTGTGAGGCAGTGAAATGAACACCAACCGCTTGTTCTGTCTTCTCGACTAACCTCTGCCACCTGTCATCCCTGGAGCCTGAACCAAACATCGAGCACCGGCCTCTGCTAATGTTCTCACAAACTTCAGTGTCCTCTGACCTTGGGGGTAGGCTGGGATATGTGGCAAGCTCTCACCTGCTCCTTGCTCATGTCCTTGGGGGACAAGCCATCCACCACTGCTGGAGCTTTGCCCACTTTCCCTTTTTTGCCACCTTTTTTTTTGGGTGCCTAAGAAAAGAAATCAAAACGCATGAGGTGTGCGTGCGTCTCGGGGGCTGCGAGGAAGCTGTGCTGCTCAGCGCTCTCCTGCTCGAGCTGCTGTCCAGGCCAGTCACGCAGCTTGCCTGCTCTCACAGCGTGGAGAGGTTTAGAAGGGCGACGGGGTCGGGGTCCCGGGGAGCAGCCAGGACACTCGAGACCCTCTGGGACACCTGCAGCTCCACGAGCAGCTTCTGCAGGTTCGCTCCGCAGCAAAGCTTCGGGCCCGGAGGGGCTCCCCTGCCCTCCGCAACT